TGGATATATCCGTCCGTCCACAAATCCTCCTTGGTTTACAAGGTACCTCACTAACCTAAAAAATACTAAAAAAAAAAGGCTCTTACTAAAATATAAAAAAACCTGCAGTAGTGTTGATTTTTCAAGATACCTACTAGCTAGGTTGAATTGCACCGTGCATAACGCTGAATGTTATAGGAATTATATTGACCGCTGCTGGATACAATTTACTCAGGATCCAAAACAGTTTTATAATTTTGTAAACACTAAGCGTAAACACGTATCTTTTTCACCCATGCTTACGTTTGAAAATTCCTCTGCGACCTCTGATCAGGCCATTGCCGATCTATTCGCAGAATTTTTTCAAACAACTTATTCTTTGCCTAAGTTGACAGATCAACCTTACGCATATAAAATTCAAGCAGCAAATCTTATTTTCTGTCCGTTTTTTTCTGAGAACAACTTATTATCTGGTCTTTTAAGGGTAAAACCCATTTATTTGCCAGGCCCCGACGGAGTATCAGGCTGTGTGCTAAAATACTGCGCCAGGGCTCTGTGCAAACCTCTTCTAAGACTTTTCAACTTATCTTTAGAAACCTCGATTTTTTCCCTTAAGAGGGAGGAATCTTTCATAATTCCCTTACATAAAAATGGGGAAAAGTCTGATGCAGCCAATTACAGAGGCGCCTCTAAATTGTAGGCAATTCCAAAGTTTTTTGAAAAATTAATAACTCCTCATTTGCAACACCATTGCTCTTCGATCATCTCTCCTTGCAGCATGGCGTTATTAGGCGTCGCTTCATCACCACGAACTTATTGGAGTTGACATCCTTTGTCATTGAGGGCTTCCGAAGGGATGTCAAACAGATATTGTTTACAATGGCTTTAGCAAAGCATTTGATTCAGTCAATCACTCACTCTTGCTGAGAAAACTGAATATGTTGGGATTTTCTAAAGACCTCTTAACGTAGATCTCCAGCAACTTAGATGGGGGAACACAAAGAGTCTTACTAAAAACGTACATTCCCGTCTGGTCCGTGCTACATCTGGCGTCCCTCAAGGAAGTTATCTTGGCCCGTTGTTATTTACTATTTTATAAATGACTTGCCCCCTGCTTTAACGAACTTTCTAGTTCTTATGTATGCACATGACTGTCAAAAATGCTAAACACCATTTTTGAATGATTTAATGCTTAATGCTAATGTTTTAATACTTAATGGATCAAAATGCAAGTCTTCTTATCGTTCTTGACTCTTTAGAGTCAAGGTTTCCTTAGAGAAATTAGCTCAGGTTTATGATCTCGGCATCCTATTAGACGCTAAACTTAAATTGCCGACCATATTTCCTTTATGGTTAATATGGCTTGGTTTTATAAAAAGATGGTCAAAAGAATTTAATGACCCGTACATAACCAAAACATTTGGTCCGTACGAGACTGGAGTACGGTTCATGTGTCTGGAGTCCCCCACAAAAAAAATTCCTAACTTTTTTACTTAGAGGTGTAAAGTGGGATGCAAATCTTCACCTTCCATCTTATTATAGTAGACTATTTTTCAATATATAACATTCACTTACCTTTTACCGCTAACCATACAGCATATAGACAACACATTTCATAAAACGAAAGTGGACGCAAAAAATTCGTTGGACGCGACAGGCCCCAGCAGGCCCCAGACCGAATTCTTACTCTTTTTCCTTCGCTCATCGTTCGTTCATCTCACGCTCATACTCTCATTAAATGCTTTCTGTTTCTCAGTCTCGGTACGGAGCTCGATGAAGAAGGTTGGCCTGCGCTTCGGTTGATCTTTGTATGTATGCGTGTCACCCCTTCACATACACGGGTGTATGTGTACGTGCGATTTCGTTTTGAAGCCAGCACACAAAATTTTGATTTTTCTTACTTTTCAGGCTTGCTACCCTAACAAAATTCGGGTATTCGTTATTTGGTGAAATGACGAAAGAAATAATATTATTTGTTTTATATAGGGTATATTTCAGTCGACATCACCAATTCACCAATTCTTTTAGGGGAGTGAGCAGACACAAATCTTTACTTTGACTTGTTTCAGTCTGTTTTTATAAATTTTTTTAAATTGATTTTTTTGTTAGAGTGAATATATTTTCTTATTTTGTCAACTTTAATGTAATCAATGTAACCAATATATTCCAAAAATTTTCTGTGCTACAATTTGTTGTAAACATCAATTAAAAATATATATATGGAATTTTTATTTTAATTTTTAAATCATACATTTATTCAAAAAAAAAATTTTTTATATTTTTTTTGCTGTCCGGTCTCCTTAAAATCATTTATCAGTAGGGTATGCAAGCACAATTCTCATGCAGAACAACAAAAACTTAAAAGCAATCGGCGTTTTAAGTGATGTCGACTGAAATATACCCTGCTCCGTTCTCAGTATATTGTTTTTAATGATTCGTAAAAATATGTACATATATACAAAACATTTTACTGCTAACACTTAATCTCATTCCTAAATAAATTTAAAATGTATGCTGAAATATTAAAAATGTTATATAACAAATAATATTATTTCTTTCGTCATTTCACAAAATAACGAATACCCGAATTTTGTTCGGGTAGTAGCAAGCCTGAAAAGTAAAACCTCGTACTCTGATGACGAAAATCCGCTGTCACACGAGCCGAACTCCATATACAAAAACGGTGTGAAAAAAGGAAGAAGAAATTTTGGCCTCCTAGATTTTGCTGAAAATTGATCTGAAAATTATGGCTATCAAATTGAATGGCGTTGCCGGATCAAAAAAACTAAACAGCTGATCTAAATAAAATAGTTATAAAAATAATTCATTTGATTTATTTTGACACCCAAAAAATGGAGCGAAAATTAAAAGTTAAAAAGTTTCGGACCGAAAAATTTTCGGCCCGCGAGGATAAAGTCAAGCTTATTAGTGCGGTCAGGGCGAAGCCCATAATATGGGATTTGACCCACAAGGGGCATTTTAATGCCATAAAATAAGAAAAATAGTAAGAATTCGCTCTGGAGCCTGCTGGGGCCTGCTGGGGCCTGTCGCAAGAAATTTTTGCGTCCATTTTCGTTGTATGAAATGGGTTGTCTATATGCTGTATGGTAATTTTTTTTTTTTTTTTTTTTTTGTTTTAAGTTACCACGACGCCCTGGGAAGTCGTAGGATTATTTGGCCGCCCTAAGAGCAGGGAAAACGCCAACTGTAATGCTGTATGGTTAGTGCTTTTACCTACTTGGCATGTATGATGGTTGTTTGCATATACATATGTACGAAAGCTCTTTTTCTAATGGCGAAATAATTTTTGGGCAGCGCACTATGGGCGATTTTTCATACTGGGCGGCATTAAGTCATAAAATTTATGGTGAAATATTAAGGAAATGTTTTTTTTTATTAATAGTAAACAGTTCAGTTAGCTGAAAAACAATTTTTTTTTATCGGCTACTCTCTTTTTGTGGCAGCCCTTCAAAACCAGATGATCTGTTGAAGCTCACAATTATATAAATTGGCACGAAAAATTTCATGCTGTTGAAAGTGCTTAAATTATTATTGGTTTCGTTTAAATTAATAAGTGTAATATGGATAGCAAAGCTCAAGGTATTTAGAATCTTTTATTTACGATAAATGTGTATAAATGTTCGTGGTGTTTTTAATGTCCAGTGTTATTGTTGATTGTATTTTTAGCAAAAATTTAACAATTTTAATTGTGTTCCGTTGAGTATTTCTTGAAAAGCGCATATCAAAACATGCAACTAAAAATGGCAAGTTACTAACGAAAGTGTCTAGTTTATGGTAGTAATCATGTTTTTTGCTCTTTTTTGTTCCTTTAAAAAAAAATGCACTTGAACATCCAACATCAGAACTGAGTTCATAAAATTTTTTTAATGATGAAGACACCGAATCAGACAACGAAAGCGATGACAAACATGAGAATTCTTTTGTTTTAGATGAAGAAGATTATTAACTTTTTGTTTTTTTAAGTTTAGAATATTGTTAAAACATGGTAAAATATTATTTTTTCTATTTTTATGCTTTGCTTTATAATAAAAATTTAAATTTTTGTACAAGTGCCGGGGTTATAAAGGGGCGGAAAATAAAGGCGTAATCAAATTGACTAAAAAAAAAATCCGAAAACAAACTAAAATATTAGAAACGCTTTAAAAAAAAATTAAGCTTCTAGCTTTATGTGTGGACTTTATGTCGCCAAAATCAACTAATCGCCCATAGTGCAGCGCAAAAATATGTGATGCTGTTAATGGCCAGAATTGGTGAATCAGGTTCTGAAATTTTCGGGACTTCATTTATTGAAATCTGTGGGAGCGGTTTGAATGAAAATAGTCGTATAATATGTGAAGGACCCAATCATGATACGATTACGATTGTATGATTTTATCATGGACCCAATAAGCCTAAGCAGAGGCCATATAGTATTCTAGGAACTAGTTCAATTAATTTTTTTATGGACTGTATGATTTTTGCTCCTACATACTTCAAAAGGTCGTACATCGACTTCAATTTTGTGCATATACTCTGAGAGCTTCACATTTAAAAAAAAATTTTTTGTGATGAGTTTTGTATGAGCTGTTAACCGGGTTAGTCCACTTTTTTCGATTCGCTCCAAAACGTAAAGAGCGATTTTAATGAAATTTTCAAGACATATTCTAAAAATATTGGGCTATAGGCAGTATCGTGCTTGTTGGCGCGTCCTCTTGTTTCTGACATAATGCTCAAAACAGTATGGGGCAGTTTTTCAAACCCCAAACCCCAGTTTTTTAATTTTTAAGCTACGTAAAGAGTGTTAAGCCCGCTCAAAGTAAGAAAAAACAATAGTTTATTCAATTTATAACAATTCTAGTGTTTATTTTATTATATTTAGTGGCTAAATACTGAAATAATTGAAAAACAAAAAGTTTGTTGCTCTGTTCCAATTCCACCGTACTGCTTCGACGCTAAAAAAGCGTCGCTAGTTTGACGGACATTATTACAAACTTTTTATTATGGTATTTTCCCAGGACGAAACGGTATACTTTAATTGTTATCGAAACGGTCATCCTCTTTCCGTTGTGAAAATAATTTTAATTGAAATTAAAAATCTACTGCTGTGCATTTGTTTTAGTGTGAACAAAATAAGAAAAATACATTACAAAATAAATATTGAGACTATTTTGGTGGTATGCTAATATATATTTTTAAACTTTTACAACGGATTTTACTAATAAATTGTTGTTCCAAAAATATTTAATTATTTTTTTTCATTAAATAATTTGTACCAAAATAATTTTAAAATTTTTTCCACTAGGTACTTGTGAAACTATAAAAATAAAGTTATGACTTAATGATTCATATGAAATCAATAAATGAAAAAAAGAACTCTTGAAAAATATTTTTTTCAGCCCTATCAAATGAGGGAGAGTAGCTAACAGTATTTTTTTGTACTCAAAAAGTAGCCGCGTACACATGTATATATGTACATACATACAATATATGTATGTTCAATATGCACAATAGTTTTATTTTAATTTTCAAACATTAAATTTTTTTATATAAAACTGCGTTTTATTGAAAACTAGTTAATACGGGGAATTTAAATGATAACTCACCCTTCGAATTGGGAAAATTGCAAATCTGTTATATTTAGGCTGCCGTCCAAGTAATAATCGCACATTAGAGAGTATAGAGTATGCGCAAGGAGGCTTTTTTATAAACTTTATAACCTTGTTTTTTATTACTTCAAAAAGATAACATTTTTAACCTTAAAGTCTTTTTAAAACGGAAATTTAATTTAGAGGGCCCTGCTCGAACGTTTTTTTTTTATTAAAACTTGCGAATAACATTTGACCCGTTTTAACATCTATTTTTATATATTTTTATATCATAACTGAAAAAAAAAAAAAAAAAGTATGCTTGGTCCCTTGGTATCTGATAGAGACCGGATTAATTGAGTGCTCAAACACTGAGAGCTTTAAACAAAAAACCGAAAAAATATAATACTTAGGTCAAACGGTCTTTTGTGTTAGACTCATAAACAACAGACTTTTCTTCAACTCAATTTCCAAATATATTCATAAACAACAAAAATTTGGGGATAGTCGAGAGGTAATGATTCTGCTTAAGGGGCCCATCCACAGACGAGCATTTTGGCGAAGATGCTCGCCAACTCAAATTTTATTTGCCCACTATAGCCAACATGCGCGCGAACATCATTTTTCGACAAACTTTCAAGGAATCTACATGTCAACGGACAACAAAAGCGGATCTGCAATTGCACTGATGTCAATAAATATTTGCTTAGAAAAAAGAAAAACATTAAAATTTACATTAATTTCATAAACTTTTGACTTACTTTGCGGTGCGCAAGTCCAACCACTAAGCTTTTTTTTTAATTTTTATTTTTAGTTGGGCAAATTTGAAAGATATGACACATATGTATATAAAATCATCACTCATCATTGACCTTAACGCATAAAGCGATTTTAACTTTTGTGCAGTATTTTGTTTCGAATGTAGATGAAAACCTGGATCGGTGGTATAGCTAGCTCAACCTTTGCGAGCGCATCCAAGTAAGAGGACCGCAGCTTCACCTCTTTATAAAAATTCAAAAGCTAAGAAAACAATATGCAAAAATGAATGATAAAAACCAGGGACTGCAAATAAGACTTATGAGTTCAAAAAAATTGAACGACAAAAAAGCCTTTGTGGGGAGTGGGAAAAGGGCACATATACCATTTTTTAACGGTGAATCCAAAAAAACAATAAACTTTTATTTCAATTTCTATTGCTAAAATTGAAATATAACTCTTATTTTCAATTTTTATAATAATAATTAAGAATAAGAATTATTTTTCAATTTTTATAAAAAAAATAAAAATAAAAATGATGATTCATTTTTTATTAAAAAAATTGAAAATAAGTGTTACGATTTAATTTTTATTATAAAATTGAAAATAAAAATTGAATGCGAATAACTTCTGAACCAAGTGGACTATTAAAAAACCGCTTACATTTTTATGATCTGTGGCGCAGTACCTTTCAAATGATGTACGAATGTCCTTAAAGGACATAATCAAGGATTCCTTAATAATTCCATAAATAACAGTGTTCATAACAAAGAAAGACTCGATTATGTGAATTATGTGAAGAAAAATTTTTTAATAATGGCATCTGCAATGACAATATTACTCTTTATTAAAAAAACAGGTCCTAAAAATGTTTTAATCATGGAATCCTCAATTATTCAATTTATTTAGTTATATTTCTACTAGAAATTTTCAAGTGTGGGCCAACCATGTAAAAGTACACACCGAGTTTCTTAAAATTATTTCGATTATATTGAAATATTTGTTGTATTAAATTCGTTTCAAGCCAAAGCTTATAAAAATCGCCGAAATATAATTGTTCGCTTTGCAATTTTTTAGTGGCTATAAAAATAGGTTCTAGTGCCGCCAACAGCAAGTTCATTTCCTCCCAATTTGATTCCGTTAACTGCAATGTTTCACTTAGATTTTCTTTTGAAAACTCCCTATATACGCATACGTTTTTCAACATAGTGTACGTTGAGATCCACCTTGTTGGTACATCCAGTAGAGGTTGGGGATGTATCCATAATTTTAAAATATTATTTTAATTTTTAAGTGTAATGTTATGCATTTAATTTGTTTACCTATAAGTCGGAGTTCGCAAAGTTTTTATTATGGATCGTGCGCTATCGACAAGCAGGTCTCTTATAGCAGGTCATGAACAGCTAATTGCATGGAATAGGCGTCACATCTAATCGAATGTATAGAGTGAACGCGAATATCTTTCATAAGGTCGTCATCGTCAAACTCGTCACAAAATTCAGAATTCAATTCTTTGTTCATGAAGTCGATCGCTTTAATGACATTCTTGCCATTGTCTGAAGTGACAGTGTAGACTTGCTCCTTTTTTATTAAAAACTCGTTCAGCACATGTTCAATTTTCATGCTTCATGGAGCGCAATCACGCCAAGCGTCTTTACTTCAATGCGGTGGGCTCGATAGTATTGGACATTGATTCCCAATATACCCCTGTTGACCCACACTAGAAATATAACTTAATAAATTGAATAATTGAGGAATCCTTGATTATGTCCTTTAAGGACATTCGATACATCATTTGAAAGGTACTGCGCCACAGATCATAAAAATGTAAGCGGTTTTTTAATAGTCCACTCGGTTCAGAAGTTATTCGCATTCAATTTTTATTTTCAATTTTTATAATAAAAATTGAATCGTAACACTTATTTTCAATTTTTTTAATAAAAATTGAACCATAATTTTTATTTTTATTTATTTTTATAAAAATTAAAAAAAAAATTATTATGCTTAATTATTATCATAAAAATTGAAAATAAGAGTTATATTTCAATTTTTGTCATAAAAATCAACAAATAATTTTTATTTTAAAAATTATAACAATTACGGTCCCTGATAAAAACGACAAATCGGGTTTTCTCTGAGTAAGACCTTTCACTCAAAAATCGAATCAAAACGTAAGTTTTTGACAAATTGTTCAAAGAATCTTAAAATGAGACTTATTTTCTGTCCGTCTTTCTCTGAGAATAGCTTATTCGTTGATCTTCTAAGGGTCAAACCCTTATACCCGTTTATACGCCAGGCACGATGGAGTACTTACTGTGTGTTAAAATACTGTGCCAAAGCTCTTCGCAAACCTCTACATAGACTCTTCAATTTATATTTGGAAACCTAGATTTTTCCCTTTAAGTGGAAGGAATCTTACATAATTCCCTCAGATAAAGAAAAAAAAAATCTCAAAATTCTCGGCAATTCCAAAGTTATTTGAAAAACTAATTACTCCTCATTTGCAACACTTTTTCTCTTCGATCATCTCTTCATGTCAGCATGGCTTCATTGGCTTCGGTCCACCACTAATTTACTGGAGGTGACTTCCATTGTCATAGATGGGTTTTGGAAGAAATTGCAAACTGATGGTATTTACTAGAGATGAAACGGATAGCAGTTTGGCCGGATACCGGATACCGGATATTCGGCCGACCATTTGGCCGGATATCCGGCCGCCGAATATCCGAATGTTTTGCAAAACTTAGCCGTTTGCGTAGACGTCGCGCCAACGATCGGGTGTTCTCGGTTCGATTTGGTTTTTTTCGTTGATGAGTGAAGTTAACAGTTGTATCCATATCCATAACCTGTGAGCTGGACTTTAATCTCTAGCCAATGCAAATTGATCGCACCCTTATTCTTGGTGGGCAGCTAATGCCCAAATTTAGCAAAGTTTGCAAAAATCTACCTTTCTGCTCCTTGCACTACTGTGTATAGCGAAAGACTTTTTTCTGAAGCTGGCCTTATTAATGAAGAAAAACGCAACCGCCTGCTACCTCTTAATGCAGAGGAATTAGTAGCTTTGTCTTCAATACAAATCCATCTCTTTCCATCTCTTTTGAAAATTTTCCAAACTGGTGTTTAGCAAATGATTTAGTACTTAATGGATCCAAATGCAAGCTTAAGTCTTTTTATCGTTCTTGCCCTCTGCAAGCTACGTATATTCTCTATGGGATTGCCTTAGAAAAATTAACTTAGGTCAATGATCTCAGCGTCCTATTAGACACTAAACATACATTTTCCGACCATATTTCTTCACTGCTTAATAAGGGTATTTTAGTCATTGGATTCATTAAAAGATGGTCAAAATAACGTAACGACCCCTACATTACTAAAAGCTTATTTATTTCTTTGGTCTGTCCGATTCTGGAGTATGGTTCATATATCTCCAATATCATCCCCAATATAGAGTAGATCAGGACTGCATAGAATCCAATCCGTACAAAAGAATTTAACATTTTCACTTATAGGTCTTAACTGGGATGCAAATCTTCATCTTCCATCTTATAGTACTTCTATAGACTTCAACTTCTACTAATAAACTACTTATAAGACTTCTACTAATAAACTACTTATAAGACTTCTACTAATAAACTTACCAAGCTGAAAAAATCGTTGGCCCATGCTGGGTGTAGTTTTCCTACATAACCTTATTAATGGGGATGTCGATAAGGGTATACTGGGATGCAAATCTTCAGCTTCCATCCTACAGTAGCAGACTTTTACTTATAAACTTACATAGCTTAACAAATCGTAGGACAATGCTCGGTGTAGTTTTTCTGCATAACCTTATT